ACGTGCGCGTGTGTGCACGTGTGTGTGTGTGCACGTGTATGTGTGTACCACGTGTGTGTACAACGTGTGTGTGCACGTGTGTGTGTACCACGTGTGTGTGTGTACCACGTGTGTGTACAACGTGTGTGTGCACGTGTGTGTGTACCACGTGTGTGTGTGTACCACGTGTGTGTACAATGTGTGTGTGCACGTGTGTGTGTACCACGTGTGTGTGTGTGTACCACGTGTGTGTACAATGTGTGTGTGTGCACGTGTGTGTGTGTACCACGTGTGTGTGTACCACGTGTGTGTGTACCACGTGTGTGTACAATGTGTGTGTGTGCACGTGTGCGTGTGTGCGGTAGTGCAGCGGTTAGCGCTACGCTGCGCAAAGAACCCGGCGGCCCGAGTTCGATTCCCGCTCACGGTCAACACAAACATTATCTGAACCGGTCCTGGGCCCTCTCCTTGGTAGACTCAGCCTTAAATAAGTACCTGGTGCGTGGTGGGTAAACATCGCCAACTGGGGGAGACAAAGGCGGCCGGGCGTGGTGTTGGCTACCCAGCCGTGACGGCCTTCACAGGTGCTGCTCGCTAACAGCACTTGCCCCTACAGTCTGTTAGAGGCCATGCGGGGAAGGGAGGAGATGTTCGTCTAAAAGTTTTCGGTTTGGGGCACTGGGCAGGGCCGTGACGCCGTCGCCGCAATGGGCAACCCGTCGTCGAACGACGCCGCTGGATCTTCAACGTCCCACTGTGGAACAGTCGGCGCGCACTTTAACGATCGCTTATTGACACTCCCGCGCCTACCAATTCTCCAGGGCCGCCGCCAGGGCCCCCCCCCCCCCCCACTTCGAACCGCGCGCTTCACCGGCCAACAATCGGCAATGGCGCTGCTATCGCTCGTTCACCGTGACGGAGGCGTTGCCTCATTGGCCGTGATTGTGACTCGACGTGACCCTTAGCGGTGGGGTGTGGGAGTCGTGGTGGGGGGGGGGGGTGGGGGGGGTCACCGCAAATGCTAAGGAACTCGGTTAATAATTCATCCCCCTCCCCTCCTCTCCCCAACCTTCTCTCTCTCCCCCTTACACAGCTGCACTTTACTCCTGCAGGGCGGCTGGGTTGGCACTCCCTGCAGCAGCAGCAGCAGAAGTCGTGGGAGGGAGGGAGCGAGGGAGCGTGGGTTTGGAAAATCTAAAGGTAGAGGCGCAGCCCCCGCAAGTGCTCGCTCGACGCCACTGCTGGTGGATGGGCCTCGACTCTGAGAGGGAAGCATCGATGAAGCGCTCTGCGAGAGGGGCATTTGGCCTACTCTTCCACGTCGTGGAAGGGAGAAGTGGCGAGTGCCCACAGTTCACTCCACCATGTGCAACCTGGTCAACCCATGTAGACTGCCGGGTGGACAGAGTGTGGGTGGGGGGGGTTAAGCATCTTGCACGTCGCGAAGGCCTACGTGTTAAACGATTGTTTAGACTGCAGCGGCAGGAGATGGAATCGAGCAGGCGACTTGCAAGTTGGGTGCGTTAAAGCGTTGCACCACCGTGGTCTGTTCTGGATGACCACAGTCGCACATTGGGCGAAGTTTTGTTGTTGTTGTTGTTGTAATGTCCCATTTATGCATCAGGTGTCCGCAGATATAATGTCACGCCATGCGCCCCATCCACAAACACGAAGAAGGAGACATCGCAGCGTTGATGATACTACTACTGACGCCGGTTATCTGTGCGTGACAACCTGAATGTGACATTGTAGCCGCTGTTGTTGCCTCTGCATCGACATCAATAGCCATACGGAAGAAGAAGATGAAGAGACTCACAGATACCCACAGAGACCCACACTAATGGAGACGCACAGAGACTCGGTGACCTCATAGAGATCCGCAGACTCATCAAGACCCATAGAATCGCACAAACTGATAGAGACATCGCATAGCGATGATGATACACTCCTCCGCTACTCGTGGCGCGGTCGTCCGAGCTTGACCAGCTGCACGTGAAATTGTAGCTGTTGTCTCTGTATCTGCAGCAGCCCGTACGAAATAAGAATGCCATGGCGGTGGCCGCATCTGCTACGAGATGGATAATGCAGGACATACTTCACTCGTCGCGGTTGAGTTATTGGGGGGGGGGCGGGGTGAGGCGTTCATTAAAAAAATAAAATAAAATCTATTTCGGATGTTTTGTTGTTGTAATAAGCATAGAGTCAACTATATCCGTGTCAAATGTCAGCTCTCTATGTCGTCTAGGTAAGGCACCCCATACGCCTTACTTGGCTAACAAGCGCCATGACCTCGCTAACTTCGCCTGTGCTCAGGCGAAGGTGGCGGTGCACAGAACGAGTAAAAAGACGCTGCAAGGTGACACTGACGGCTGCTCTGTGCTGCTTCCAGTGTTCAGGGGCCTGCTTAAGGCGCGGCTCCGGCTGGAGCACGCCACGTACCACACACGTGTCGGTGATGTGCAGCGCGTCTTCTTCGACGGCTGGGGAGCCGGACAAGCCCCTCTCTGTACCAGCGTGGACGGCACCCCACGTGTTCACCTTCTGATGCGCTCGCTCGTCACCGTGGCGTGCGCGATGACCACCAGCACCACCACGTGACTTTTCTTTCGTGTTGTGCGCGGCGCATTTAGCGCCACAGCGCGTGAATTTATAGCGTTTATTTTCATTTGTGTTGCTGGTGACTTTGTGTAATTTCATATCGGAGTCGCCTCCAGTGCTGTTGCTGCTGGCGGCAATAAAAGTTGTTTATAAGTCACAAGTCTCTGCCGTCTAGAACGCCGTTAGAATGTTGCAGGACATCCGTGCAAAAAAGAGCTTCATAGCTCATCGGATCCCTCCGGTCTACATACATATTCCGTCTTTGTTCTTTCTTTCTGATACATCAATCCGGCACTCACGAAATCTACATTAGCCATGCCTATCGTTTAGAGCGTGCTTGGCTGCGAAACACTTCCACGGGATAAGCCATCTCTCGTAGAGCCAGGCCGCTTCTTATAAGTACGCATTGTCAAGCTCAGTGGGATCTTACAACTGGTCAAATGGAAACTAAAAAAATAGTTGAACAGAAATAGTTTCAGTCGAGGTTGGGTGCAATCGTTTTTTTTTCTGTACACAACGCGAAGGTGCACACCGAATCATTACTGGGGAACGACCAGATGTTTACATTGCCAGAAAGGGTTCAAACATCTTCGGACAGACGCTTATCGCTGTACGCTATGGTATGGCGTCGGCCCGTAGTCGAACGCAACATTTGATCAAGGACGTACATCGGCCCGGACGATGTCCCGTGAATGTCAGCCGCGCGAATGCCTCCGACTTGCACGGCCGCTCGGGTCGAGGGTGTTGTCGTTTGTCCATACTTCACCACGCCGGCGAGCGTGGGAGGTGTCTCGAAGACCGGTGAGCGGCGTGGGGGAGGCCGGGCGGACAGCTAAAGATCGCACTCGCTACGGGATTCGAACTCGTCGTTGGCGGGATGGGGTTCGTTCGTGGCGCAGTGCGCTATCCGCTGCGCCACCGCTCCCCCCACGTTTGGCCAAAGACAAAGATTCACCCCCTCCCCCGATGCACCGAGGCCCGCACGGCACACGAAGGGGTGGATGGGTGGCCGACAAACGAGCGCGGCCGCCTTTGTCTCCCCAGTGGCGATGTTTGCACATTACTCCAGGTACTAATTTGAGGCTGAGTCGACCTAGAGGGAGGCCCAGGAACCAAATATAATTGGGTCTTTCGGTAAAGTCACGTAGATAGAAAGTTAAATAAAAATATGCAAATAAAATTAAAAATTGAAATAAATTGAAAATAATAACAGCAAAAAAACCCACGACGTTTCGATCGCAACACATTTTCCATCCAAGTAACCGAAAGAACCAAGAATATGAAATCCTGAAATCACGAAAGTTTTAAGTAAAAAGGAACCAAATCGTGACATATTACACATCAGCCATGTGTAGCTATGCAGAGACACACGCGCACAACAATGCATTCGCACGAGCTGATGTTGCACGTGTACATACACGCACAGTTACTGCGTATGTGTACATGAAACTGTGTACACACACACACGTACACTTACTTGTACATGTACTTATAGCACGAACTAAATTACATGCAAAGACAAAGAAGCCCCGGATAGCTTTTTAACACTTTTGGGGCAAGTGCTGTTAACGAGCAACTATGATCGCCGGTTACGTCACACGTAGTGAGAATGCGTGGCCAATACCACGCCCGGCCACCTTTGTCTCCCCAGCGCTGATGTTTGCGCAAAACTGTGCAGGGGTACAATTTTTTTTCATCCCGAGTCGACCTTAGTATGGGAGGATGCCCATTCATAACCGGGAATCGAACTCGGGTCGGCGGGTTCGTAGCGCAGTGACACGCACCCAAAAACAACAGAACAACTCTTGGACACAAAGGCAAAAGATCCCCCGTGTAGCCTTAACAGACTGTTGGGGCAAGTGCTGTTAGTGAGTAGCAGCTGTGATGAGCCAGAACGTTACACGACGGGGTGGGTGGCCAGGACCACGGCCAACCCGCCTTTGTCTCCCCAGTGGCGATGTTTTTACGCACCGCACCCAGGTAGTCATTTGAGGCTGAGTCGACCTAGGGGATGGAGGCCCAGGATCGGTTCAGATAATCTTCACCGGTGTTGGCCGTGAGCGAGAATCGAACTTGGGTTGTCCAGGTTCGTAGCGCAGCGCGCTAACCGCTACACCACCGCTCCCCCACCCCCCCCCCCCCCACAAACACGCAAAACAACATCGACTCTTGGCCAAAGCCACGCGCGCACACACACACACACACCCAGAGATCCACTCTCACAAAGCATTAAATAACTGTATAAAAGTTTAAATGATAATCGTGGTGGAAGTAAAGTGAAATAAAATAAATAACTAAGCATACGAGACGGATGGGAAAAAAAGGAAGCGAGAGAGAGAGAGGGAGACGCTCTGCCTGCAGCGCGGAGCGACATCACGCGGAGTTCTAGAGGGCGAGCGAGTGAGAGAGAGAGAATGACTTACACTGGGTGGCTTCGCCGACTCGCTTCATGTGCCCCCCGCGATGAGCGGCTGCTTGTGGCGATCCCACGTGCAGACGGAGAGGACATGGGGAGAGAGGGGAGACGGGCGTGGGTGGTGGTGGTGGTGGTGGGGAGAGGAGGTGGTGGTGGGGGGGGGGAGGTCATACTCTGATGGGATGGGTGGGGGGGGGAATACATGCCTCCCATCAGTGCGGACAATACGTTGCCCATCCAACCACCAGGCTACTACGAACAGAGTCACTCAGGCACAGGGCGAATTCAACCACCCACCCACCACCCACTCGACCGACTCAGGCAAGCGAGCACGGACATTGCCACCAATGCACGCAATACAGCAGCAAATGCAGTAGCAGAGCAGACAGATACTTGCTCACTTAGTCATTCATTCAGTCACCCCCGCAAGTCAGCCACTCGAAGGCACACCGATCAACTCGCTCGCTCAGCCACCTACCAATGAACTGTACAGCCACACATCCAACCGGTCATTCGATCACCCACCCAGTCACCTACCCACTTAGTCACCCACCACTCACTCCCTCACCCACGCACTCAGTCAACCACCAGTCACTCCCTCACCCATGCACTCAGTCAACCACCACTCACTTCCTCACCCACGCACTCAGTCAACCACCACTCACTTCCTCACCCACGCACTCAGTCACCCACCAGTCACTCCCTCACCCACGCACTCAGTCACCCACCAGTCACTCCCTCACCCACGCACTCAGTCACCCACCACTCACTCCCTCACCCATGCACTCAGTCAACCACCAGTCACTCCCTCACCCACGCACTCAGTCAACCACCACTCACTCCCTCACCCACCCACGCAGCCACGAGTCAATCAACAGACCACACTCAATCCCTTTCCCGAGGGATGCGAGCACACTTGGCGGACACGGGACGTGGGCAAAGAGGGGGCAGAGGGGGTATGGAGGGAGACGTGGGGGCAGTTGTGGAGTTGGGGGATAAGGACGACTCGGTGGGGGGGGGGGGGGGGCTTAACACATCCCTCCCACCAATGCCGACAATCCCTGCCCACCCACCCACACCCACCCACACTCACCAACAACAGCACGGCTCCACAGGGCAACGCTAACACAACCGGTCCGGTTCACCCGATCGCCCACTCGTCACTCAGACACACCCGTCATCACGCCTGCGATCAACAAAGCCAGGCGAGGCAGTCACTCACTCGTTCACTCACTCACCCACTCGCTCACTCACCCACTCGCTCGCTCACCCACTCGCTCGCTCATCCACTCGCTCGCCCACTCGCTCGCTCGTTCGCTCACCGACACGTGAGATGTATTGTAGAAACCCACATACCTGGACAGACAGTCAGGACAGTCACTCCCACTGGTAACGGGTCAGTCATTGACTCTCTCACACAGTTAAGCCACCTGCCTTGCTTAGATACAAAGGCAGCCAGGCAGAGTGTAGCAGGCTCACTCGCCAAACCAGCCAGTCACTCAACAACCCGTCCACCAATGCGCCTGCGTATTCATTCTGTCACTCGCTCACCCGTCAAGAACACAACCAGCCTGCGCACATGCGACCCACGCGCTCAGCTTCCACACTCAGCTAGCTGGCCACTGTCACGTGCGTGGTGATCCTGTGGAGGATGAGGTGGGGGTGCGCCCCCCCCCCCCGTCTAACTCCCTATTGAAGAGCAGTGCCCCCCCCACAGTGTGCTCACAGTGTGCTCGCCATCCCGGTGAATTACTCACATACCCCACCCTCACACTCACTCAACCAATTACTCAATCACTCACCCAGCCACACGCGCACTCACTCAACCATCGACTCACTCACCCTCTCACCCATTCACTTACTCGATCACTCACCCATCCACTCACCCATTCACTCAGCCGTCCACTCACTCACCCTCTCACCCATTCACTTACTCGATCACTCACCCATCCACTCACCCACTCACTCAGCCGTCCACTCCTCACCCTCTCACTCATTCACTTACTCGATCACTCACCCATCCACTCACCCATTCACTCAGCCGTCCACTCACTCACCCTCTCACCCATTCACTTACTCGATCACTCACCCATCCACTCACCCACTCACTCAGCCATCCACTCACTCACACGCTCACCCGTTCACTTACTCAATCGCTCACCCATCCACTCACCCACTCGCTCAGCCATCCACTCACTCATCCTCTCACCCATTCACTTACTCGATCACTCACCCATCCAGTCACCCACTCACTCAGCCATTCACTCACTCACCCTCTCACCCATTCACTTACTCGATCACTCACCCATCCACTCACCCATTCACTCAGCCGTCCACTCACTCACCCTCTCACCCGTTCACTTACTCGATCACTCACCCATCCACTCACCCATTCACTCAGCCGTCCACTCACTCACCCTCTAACCCATTCACTTACTCGATCACTCACCCACTCACTCAGCCACCCACTCACTCACACACTCACCCGTTCACTTACTCAATCGCTCACCCATCCACTCACCCACTCACTCAGCCATCCACTCACTCATCCTCTCACCCATTCACTTACTCGATCACTCACTCATCCACTCACCCACTCACTCAGCCATCCACTCACTCACACTCTCACCCATTCACTTACTCGATCACTCACTCATCCACTCACCCACTCACTCAGTCATCCACTCACTCACACACTCACCCGTTCACTTACTCAATCGCTCACCCATCCACTCACCCACTCGCTCAGCCATCCACTCACTCACACACTCACCCGTTCACTTAATCGCTCACCCAGCAACTCATGCACTCACTCACGAAACAAAACAGATTACCACACGAGTAACCGTACAGTCACTCACTCGGTCACATACACACATCCAATAACATAGCCACCCACTCCCAAGTCACCCATCGACCTCATCAGATACACTGTCACTCGCTCATTCGCTCACCCACCCCACCAACTCACAACCACGAAACCCCATCCGTCCACCGAGGCAACCCAGGCCACTCAAGTCGCTCGCGTGCCACTCGCTCACCCACTCAGCCACTCGACCATCCACGTGGCTCCGCAGTCACCCACGCAGCCAGCTCCACGCTCAGCTACATAGTCACACACGCGGCAGTCACTCAGTCATCCCGCCCGCCCGCTCGCCAGTCGCGTGGTCACCCGCAGAACGAGGGTGGCGAAGGGAGCGGTAGAGAGGGGGGGGGGGTGAATGCAGTCGGCTCGGGAGAAAGGATTTTTAGGGAGGTGTGACAAGCATACAGACATAAACAAGGACAAAGATGCCCCGTATAGCCTCAACAGACGCTTGGGGCAAGTGCTGTTGGCGAGTAGCACCCATTGAGAGCCGGCACGGCGCACGAGGGCGGCCAGCAATGGCGATGTTTACACACCGCAACAGGTACTCATTTGAGTCTGAGTCGACCTAGGGGAGGCCCAGGAGTCGTGAGTGGAACGCGGGTAGGCGGGTTCGTAGCGCAGCGCGCTGAACACTACACTACCGCTCCCCATTAGCGGACACAAGCTCACGTACACACACAGACATACACACCAATAGACGCCAACAACAACAACCGCCATTCGCCACTAAGTGGCGGTGACGTCACCACGACGCTTGTGCCAGGCCATGTGCACCTTGAGGCCACGTGAAGTGTCGAACGCCCACTGGCATGAGGTCACGGGGCAGACCCAAGTGCCACGGGTCGCCTAAGATGAGTGGCTAATGCACCACCTGTGCCCCCTACTGTGCCAACTTGCTGTGATTTAGCCACCCGGCGCTCCGCTCGTTGTTGTGAGCGTCGCTCCTCCGCCCTCCGTTGTTGTTGGAGGACGACTACCTCCAACTGCTCAGCGGCGTCCTTCACGAGCCTCCTCCACAGAGGCCGATCTTGACACCGCTGGTACCAGCCATCGGCAAGTCCACTCAGCTCCACGTCCTCCTGTACCACATCACTCCATCTCTTCTCTAGCCCGTGCCGCGCAGGTAGTCGCTTGATAGCCATAAAAGACTGCCGCAGCAAGTGCTGTTCGTGGTGTAGCTAGCACCACGCCCGGCCGCCTTTGTCTCCCCAGTGGTGATGCTTGCACACCGCGCCAGGTACTCATTTAAGGTTGTTGGGTCGACCAGTGGGGGGAATTGGGGATCAGTTGAAATATTCGCCACTGTTATTGATCGTGAGTGTGAATCGAACTCGGGTCAGCGGGGTCGTAGCACATCATAGTCGTGCGCTAACCACTGCGCCACCGCTCCCCATTGTACAACACAAACAAAGACAAATATTCCCCGTATAGCCTCAACAGACTGTTGGGGCAAGTGCTGTTAGCGGGCACCTGTCAATGCCGGCACGGCACGCGAGGGCGTGGGTGACCAGCACCACTCCCGGCCGCCTTTGTCTCCCCAGTGGCCCATGTTTTTACACACCGCACCGGGTACTCGTTTGAGGCTGAGTCGACCTAGGGGAGACCCAGGACCTGAAAATCGTCACCGGTGTTGGCCGTGAGCGGGAATTGAACCCGGATCGCCGGGGTTCCGAGCTGCTGAACCCGCTACACTCTACATGCGCGCATCCGACGTGCACGGTTGCCTATGTACGGTACGAAAGAAGTCCAACATACACGCAAGCACACACACACACACGTGCATACATCCTCAGACCGCCACACACACACACAGTGCGTGTGTGTGTGAGAGGTTGTCAGTGTGACAATAACGGCTGGGGGTGGGGGGAGGTGGGAGTGGGGGGAGAAGGGGAGGGGCCGCTGATGGAGGGAGGGGATTTCATTGTACCTCGCCTGTCAATCCGTCTCGTGTGTTTTAACATTCTTTCTCTTCTGTCCCCCTCATTTGCTGACCCCTTAACGTAGATTATCACCCCCCCCCCCCTAAGACCCCCATCACCACCTCCACCCCCCTTTGCCTTCTGTGCCGGATGGAGATCGTGGAGGGCGGTGGGGTCTGGGTGCGTTGGGTGCACGCGTGGGCTGCGGTGGGTGGGTGAGAAAGGAGGGGATGGGTGGTGGTGGTTGTGGTTGTGGTGGTGTCTTTAAAGGACGGGTGGGCTGGAGAAAGGAAGCTTAGCAGAAGATCCCACGCGGAGTGTGAAAAGAGGCTGGGGGGGGTGTGCTT